TGCCCAGGGCAGTGGTGGAGTCCCCACCCCTGGAGGGGTTCCCAAGCCGTGGAGATGTGGGGTGAGGGACAGGGGGCAGTGGGGACCTGGCACTTTGTGGAGCTGCTCTCAACGAGCCAATTCTGCCCCAATGTAGACGTGGGTGTCTTCATTTCCCTCGTTTCTCTTCCAGCTAGGGAACCACAGGACCATTGCCAGGAGCCAGGCACACTCCCAGGGGCAAGACACAGCCAGTGGCCTGCTCCCTGCTTTAAAAATACACCAAAAATCATGGACAGATGTGGCAGAAGGAGCTACTTATTTTTAAACATGGCTATTCATGTTTTTAAAGAAGCCTCAGCATGAAAAAAAGGCAAGTGGGGTTTCTCTGGAGTGGTTTTAAACCCTTCAACAACAGTTTAGAAATGTGTTGGCTGTTTATTTTGGCACACTGTGGCAATAGTCCCCTGGAAAAGAGCAACCACACAAAGGCACAGGAGAGCACGGTGGCCTGGAGGACAGGAGGGTGAGCTGTGATCTTCACAAACATCTGATTTTTCCAGTGCTGGGGAGCAGGGAGCCAGCCCAAGCTCAGTGTGCCAGGTCTGGGGCAGGTGGGCACCACCTGCCCACCACCCCACCCATGAGGAACCACAGGCATGGTCCCCCCCAGGGCCTGGGCTCACACCCCAGGGTGTTCCCTCTGCTGAAACAGAGCACTTGGCCAAGGCAGGGGTTGAATTCTTACAGAAGATGCTCCAAAATTGAGTGTTCCTCTAATGGGAGCTTCAGAAAAAGGCATCAGTGAAGCAGGAGTGAGCTCTGCCAGTGCTGGGTCTGCAGCAGCTCTCAGCACCCAGCCATGAGCTGCTCAGGTTTGGGCCCCTCCCTCCCAGAAGGACCTTGAGGGGCTGGAGCGTGGCCAGAGAAGGGCAACGGAGCTGCTGGGGAAGGGTCTAGAGCCCAAGTGTGGGGAGGAGCAGCTGAGGGAGCTGGGGGTGCTGAGCCTGGAGCAAAGGAGGCTCAGGGGAGACCTTCTGGCTCTGCACAGCTCCTGACAGGAGCCTGGAGCCAGGGGGGGGTCGGGCTCTGCTCCCAAGGAACAAGTGGAAAAGGTCTCAGGTTGCCCCAGGGGAGGTTGAGGTTGTCCCTGAGGAACAATTTCTCCTGTGAAAGGGCTGCCCAGGGCAGTGGAGGAGTACCCACGCCTGGAGGGGGTTCCAAGCCGTGGAGATGTGGTGTGAGGGACACGGGGCAGTGGGGCCCTGGCAGGGCGGGGGGCGTGGTTGGACTCCATCTTTAAAAATTCTCCTCCAACCCAAACGATTCTGTGACCCTGGCCCTGGCTCATCCCCCACCAGCATCCTGCCAGTGCCCTCTGGAGCCCCCCAGCTCCGTGGGGAGCAGGAGCTCGGGCAGGTTGGGGGGGTGAAGCTGCCCGTGGGCACTGCTCCTCCCCATGCCCCCCATTGACACTGCTGCACAGCCCCAACACCAAGACCAAGGCAACGTTCCCCACTCAACTCTGTACAATATTAGCCAAAAACTATACATCTTCCAAAAAAAAAAAAAAAAGAGAAAAGAGCGGCCCTTCTAGACCCAGACCA